TACCTCAAACATTTATTATTTATTGTGTTGGGAAATTCAAAGTGGTCACAGTGGACTGGTGTGACACGCAGACTTACAGTTATCTGTACTACGGATCAACGGTATTCTTCTTCCTGTCCGTCTTTCCTCCTGAGCCCTGTCCCCATTCTCTTCATACCATCCCAGTGTCTTTCCCGGCACCTGCTTGGGTCAGCATTTGCAGTTCTCTGTGTGCCTTCCCTCGCTCCTTTTATTGTTGGTGGTTTTTTTTCCCCCCTAGGGTCCTGTTATATTCTTCTGTTTTCAAGATCCTAACTTACTTGCCTTGGCTTCATTAGTGCCCGGATTACAGGTGTATACCACCACGCCTGGCTACAGCATTCTGCCTAGCCCAAGGTGATTCTGTAGCCATTTGTAACTTCAATCCACATTCATATTTTTAATTTCTACTTTCTATACCTCATCCTCCTTCCAAAGCCAACAGACAGAACAGAGCATTTACAATAGATACTGTGTGTTTTTTTCCTATTTATAGGTGAATACAGGTGTATCTTCACTGAGTTGTGGATAGGATTATATCACCCATAGTAGTTTAATATTGTCCTTATACATTATACTTTGAATAAATATTTTTGCTCTATAATTAACTTCGAATTAAGCATGATGAACTCTTCTGTGTTCACTGTTTTCTTCTGTATCATGCATCTCTACACATCTTTGCATTGAGATTTATGTGTAATTAATTAACAGCATTTGGCAGGTGCTTTATAGCAGCAATAGAGCAGCCTCCAGAGCCATGGAGCCATCTGGAGTGAGGACAGAAGTTTCAGGACTGTCTCCTGGAGCACCAGTGTTACCGGACAGTAACTGAATGTTGTCTGGAGCTGGCGTAACGGCATTCCTTCCTACAGTGAGCTAATGCACTTCCCATGTGCCCTCAAGCGGTGAAGCTCATGCAGTAGAGGTGTGGTGGTTTGAAAGGTAACTAGACCTTCAGCCACCATTCTTCTCCCCACTAATCTCAGACATTCCACACAAGGGCACAACATCCAACACACACACACACACACACACACACACACACACACACACACACACAC